GTCAAATTCATAAAAACGGAGAGTAGAATGGTGATATCCAGGATTTGCAGAGTGGGGAAGTGGGGACACATTGGTCAAAGGGTAGAAACATGATGTTACATGGATAAATTCTGAGGATCTAAGGCACAGCACGGTGACTGTAAGTTAATAATACTGTATTGTGAAGTTTGTTAAGAGAGTCGTTCTTAATTGTTTTCTGCACACACACAAAATCATAACTATTTGAGGTGGTGTATATGTTAATTAGCTTGACTGTGATATTAATTTCACCATATATATGTATATATCACACTGTACACCTTAAATATATACCATATTTTTGTCAAGTATATCTCAATAAGGCTGAAAAAAAGAATGAGTAAAGACCAAACATAAAATTGGAAAAGCATTCATAAAAAGAATGAGAATTTATAATACAAGAATACACATATAAGAAACACAAAGAAAACCTATTATAAATCTAGACAAGAAAAATCATGGTCTGAAATAAAATGCCATAACCAAGATAAAGTTTAGACAAGACAATGAAGAGAAAATTAATTAAAAAATTGTACTGACGAATTCACCTGGAATGAAGCACAGAGAAATAACTGAAGGTAAGAAATAACAATGGAAAGGTGCTAAAATGCATCTAAGAAATTCCAAAAAGAGGAACATAGAGAGAATAACATAGAAGAAATATCCTAAGAAATAATGGCTAAAACATTTTCAACACTGAAGAACATGTGTTACGATTGAAAGTATACTATAAATAAAAATAAATGTCTATCAACATGTATAATATTAAAGCTATAGAGCATCCAGCAAAGAGAAAATCCTAGAAGTTACTAGAGATGTTTTTAAAACGACATACACATGAAAGCCAGGGGAGGTGAGCGGGGAGACAAGTGAAATAGATAAAGGGGATTAAGAGCTACAAACTTGCAATTACACAATAAATAAGCTACTTAGGGTCCCTGGGTGGCTCAGTCACTTAAGCATCCGACTCTTGATTTTGGCTCAGGTTATGATCTCAGGGTCATGATCTCGGGGTCGCGAGATCGAGCCCTGCATCAGCCTCCATGCTCAGTGGGGAGTCTGCCTAAGATCCTCTCCCTCCCTCTCCCTCCCCACCCTGCCCTGTCTGTCATAAAGAAAGAAAGAAAGAAAGAAGCCACAGAGATGAAAAGTACAGCTTAGGGAATATAATCAATAAGACTGTAATAACGTTGTTTGGTGACAGATGGTGACCACACCTAACACGGTGAGCACTGAGTGATGTATAAAATTGTTGAATCACACTGCACACCTGAAATGAATATAATACTAATTATATTTCAATTAAAAAGTCTTTTATTTAAATAATAAAATAAAATAATAAAAATAGAAATACAACACAATCCAGTGACTCCACTGCTGGGTATTTACCCAAAGAATAAAGATATGCACCCCTATGTTTACAGCAGTATTATTTACAGTAACCAAGCCATGGAAGCAACCCAAGTGTCCACTGACGGTGAATGGGTACAGAAGATGTGGTCTAGATACACGATGGATTATTAGCCATAAAAAAGAATGAGATCTTGCCACTTGTGGTAACATTAATGGACCTAGAGGGTATTGGGCTAAGTGAAATAAGCCAGACAGAGAAAGACAAATAACCATATGATTTCACTTATATGTGAAATCCACAAAACAAATGAACAAACAAAAAAGCAGAAATAGATCCATAAATACAGAGGACAAACTTATGGACGGAGGAATGGGTAAAATGGGTGAAGTCCAGGGAAAGGTACAGGCTCCCAGTAGCAGAATGAGTATCAAGGATAAAAAAGTACAACATAGGGAGTAGAGTCAATGGTACCAGAAGAGTGTTGTATGGTGACAGATGGTGGCTACACCCGCGAGAACAGCATAATGTATAAACTTGTCAAATCACTGTGTTGTACACCTAAAACTGGTGCAACACTGTGTGTCAACTATACTTCAATTAAAAAAAAAAAAAAAAAGCCTATTAGTTAGCTAGACTGCCAGCAGATTTCCAGTCATCAAAAACACCAGACCACAAGAGAATAATGTCTTCAAGGTGTTCACAGCAAGCAACTGTGGACCTAGAATGCCAAAGTGAGCTAAAATATAACCCAACAATGAGAACAATCTAGAAACTCTTTAGACTTACTAAAACAAAAATGTTTACCTTTCCCAGACACTCACTAAAAAACTGCTGAAAAATATACTGAACATAAAGTTCATAATTTTTTCTCGTAGTTTTCTTTACTTTGCTATAACTTTTAATTAAAAAGAAGCGGTAATAATCTACTAAACTTAATCAAGTTGCTGTTTCAAAAGGAGAAGAGGATTTAACTGAAATAGGGAATTATGTAAATGAGAACAAATGATGAGAGCAACATCCACAGGGAAAACACAGTCTAATTTAGCAATACATAGTCATTCAAAGATGGTTATAATAAAAAAGTTAAACTTAGGGTGCCTGGGTGGCTCAGTTGGCTAAGCGACTGCCTTCGGCTCCGGTCATGATCCTGGAGTCCCAAGATCGAGTCCCGCATTGGGCTCCCTGCTCAGCAGGGAGTCTGCTTCTCCCTCTGACCTTCTTCCCTCTCATGCTCTCTCTCTACTATTCTTTCTCTCTCAATAAATAAATAAAAATCTTTAAAAAAAAAAGTTAAACTTAATGCAATGTATGCTAATTATATCATGGTCCTTCAAATTCTTGATATCCTCATGCATCCTTGAGAAAAATCCTTGCCAAAATTACTCAAAGAAACATTCCTGGCTGTGTGCTTAATATGTGCACTGGAGGTAAAGATGGCATCACAAGAATCCTTCCCTTTAGTATCTGGCTTCCTATGCAGCAAGTAGCAGGTAGTTGATAATTTTCTGTTGGAATATTTGCAGAAAACAAGAAAAAGAACAATAACTAAAGACTTGTGTCAACACTGTGCTATAACTGATGCTGATGTTTTAAGAAGTAAAGGAGATTATTTTAAAAATCTATTGGGTATCTTGCAAAATGTTGGGAAGGGCTGGGAACTCGACTCAGGGCTCAGCTGCCAGAAACAATCCCCAAAACCACACTGCAGAGCTGACTTGATGAGGAAGCCGCTCTGCTGCCTCCAAAGCCCAGCTCCCCCTGCACCCCTATAAAGCTCAGTGCTCCTGCCATCATCCATTCAATAAAATGGAAAGCTCTGCCCAGGGATCATTTGCATGCTCTACTCACTTCAGGGATGAATTCCGTCACCTAGTACATCTGGTTGGTGGAGCTGAAGTCCTATGCCTGCATCCCAGCTGCAAGAGAGGCTAGAAATTTGAGTTCTGGCTTCAATGTTGGGGAGGAGGTAGTCACAATGCAGGAATGTCCCCAAAAAGAAAAGCTGTTCATCAGATGACAAGCAGCCATAGACATGACAAATGTCTATGGCAATATACTTACAAAAATGGGAATATGCTATATAATCCTTTACCTACAGCTATGGAGTGTCATTTCACGCCATTAACTATTCTTCCACAGTGTTGCTTTTGAGGACTGCACAGCATCTCATTCACCAGATATACCATAATGTGTTAAATGTAGCCATCCCTCATTATCAGGCATGTAGGCGGTTTCCAAATCTTCATTAAGGTCGCTGAACTTTATGAAGACGCATGACCAGGTAAGGTTATGACCACATAGATACCCTTAACTGTCCTCCACCACTTCCCTTTCACCCACAGAACCCAGTCTTACCACCCACCATATTGTCTCTGAGTAACAAGCTTTGGAACATGCCGCCATGTTTGGAGCTCAGCTCTAGTTCTGGGTTCTCCTTCCTTGGCTTCACTGCCCCAACTGCGGATGAAGCCAACCTTCACAGGATGTCCTGGACATACTGTACACCATGATTTTCATCCTATCACCATTTCTACAGTCTATTTGAATAGCTATATGTTACATTCTTATCATCTCCTCAAAATGCTTAACCCCTGAAAACTATAACTAGCAGATATTCCTTGTAAGACACGACCTCGAGGCCATCTATTTCTGGGTATAGAATTGGCATAATGGGGTTCTGCAGCTATTTGGGTCTGATGTAATAATATTGTCTTCTTTGAGGCTGAACTTTTCTTATTTATAAAATGGAAATCACACCACCACTATACCATGGGTAAGATCACAACACTATTTACATCATAGGGCTGCTGTGAGGATTTAGTAACTCAAAGGAAGTACTTAGCAAAGCACCTAGCACATCAGCTATTAAAATTAGCCCTATAAAATTGCCTTTTGGGGTGCCTGGGTAGCTCAGTTGGTCAAGCATCTGCCTTCAGCTCAGGTCATGATCCCAGAGTCCCGGGATCGAGAGCCACATTGGGCTCCCTGCTCCATGGGGAGCCTGCTTTTCCCTCTCCCCCTCCTGCCATTCCCCCTGCTTGTGCTCTCTCTGTTAGATGGATAGATAGATAGATAGATAGATAAAATATTTTTAAAAATTGCCTTTTGTGTAAGCCCCTGGAAGCTTCACATCCCATATTATGTTCCAATCCAGTATTATCACTGCTAACTTCCAGAAACGAAATTTTCATCAACATCAAAACCTCTAGTCTTTCAATGATCATTGTGTTCCCAGGTAATCGGCCCTCTCCTCTCTTCATTTCCCCTACATCCATCCCAGACCCCAGAATCTACCCCATATAATCCTTCACGAAAACCTATTTTTTATCTCCCCGAGGATAATGTTGTTTTTTTTCCTTTTCACATGCACTGCTTGTTCTGCGAGTATTTCATCCAGTTTTCCACTGAAGGAATGACTCCTGAATAATTCGTAGGTGCTGACATGTCTGTCCTTCCCATGACTGTTTGTCCTCAAAGACAGATCATACCTGGCTCATCTAGTCACCCCATCCCAGGGCTGAATGTCTGAGATAAGCTCAATTTGTTTAAAATGAAATCAAACTCTGGAGCAATGAGTGTCTTTGCAAATAACTTCTGTCACTTCACACCTACTTGGAAATAACATGACGTGTATCTTAACAGCTTTGAATTGTATCTTAAATTAAACACTACCATGTCGGGAAACTGTAACTTAACCCAGAGAAAAGCTGGGATTCTCTTCCTCTTTTATCCTACCTTTGGTTACCCCAGATTACTTATCTGGAAAAAAATAAATCCTTTTCTCATGATCTCATATTTCCTCAGAATATCCCCTTATTTAAAATATATGAAAATAAATATACATGTACATATACATATACATATGCTGGTCTTTTTAAAAGATAATGTGTGAAAATATTCTCAAGGCAAAAAGTTAACATTATGTAGAAACCTAAGTGGAAAACAGTAAGTTTCCTTTTCACACATTCCCAATTACGTCCTCCCAACAGGAAAAAAAAAAACTATTAACAATTTATCTTTCTAGAACTTTTTAAGCATTTACATACATATATGTACCTATTAAATTATATATGGTTTTCAAACATAAAGATGCCCTATTCCACATATTTTTGACAACTTGTTTATTTTTTATTTTGGGGTTTTTTTACTTAATAATATATCAATGAGGTCTTTCCATGTGAGGGTACAAATAGCTCTTACTTAGTTTTTTAATGGCTGGATGGCTCCATAGTGTGAATAGAGTGTTATTTGTTTGACTCTTGCCCTACTGATGACATTTAGACTGCAAATAACTCATCACTATTGCAAATGATGCCCCATTGTGCATTCTTAAGCACACTTCTTCACACTCACAGATAAGGGGTTCTAGGATAAATATCTAAGGCCCCCTTTTTTTTTTAGAATCCATCCAAATTTCTGTAAATCTAAATCCCTGACTCTTTCCTATTGTGCTCCAATGATTGCTTATTGTTTTGATTCAGAAAGGTGGAGAACAATGCCCTCAAGTTCCAAGAAATGTAACTATCAGCCTTCAGAATCAAATTTACATCTAGCTTTAAGTGTCCTCTGCCTACAGAATAATTCACTTTCAAGTCATCCTGTGTCATTAACCCAGAAGTCCCATGCCCCCAATTTTCAGTGCTCTGTGAATGACGACTTCACCGTAAGGGTAATTCTCAATAGTTCTGAAAGTCTGATTATGGGTTCATAGGAAGGCAGAGCTGCCTTGGATATCTGGGTAATGAGGGCCCATGCAGTCTTGATTGGGTCACAGGAAGGTCACACCCAAAAGGAAATAGGGAGACATGCAACCAAGTATTGAATACAGCTGGTGTAGAGAACTGGAGGCTAAAATCAATTTTTTCTTCATCCAGTTTCCTTCATTATCTGTTATACAATATAAGACTTATTGCTTACGCTACTCTTGGCAAAACTCTCTGCCTGTTCCTGTTTGAAGTCAATATGGCAGGAGATGCAGAAAGAGTTGAGTTGGGTTGCTTAATTTGCAAGGTGGTTCCCAGGATGGGACTTCTTTATCAAGGAAACTGATATTTAGGTCTCTACCTCCCTCTGCCTGTGGTCAGCACAGATTCAATAAACTGGAGGCCCAGGCAGAAAGTGAAGGTGGTGATGGAACCTGCAAGGCTGGTATGGTCTCTGAAAATAATACATTTTCATTTTAACAGCTGGGCATCATGGCTACCTCCAGAACAGTCTCCCCATCCAATTAGCTCCAGTGGTCACCACACTAAGCATTACATGCTAGATGCTAGTTCTAGGGATCTACATCCTATAATGCTTCCATCAGCACTCACTAAGTGTACATCTACTGCACCTAAGAAACAAAATGGAAACATTTTGAAGTCATAGGGGAAAATTTTGTATCCTTACAAGACATAGGAAGGGAAGGAGGTCAGAATTCAGTGGTCCACATACTTATCTTTGAAAAAAAATTATAATGGCTTAAGAATAACCCAATGATATTGAGGAAAATAGCATAAAAACCTCTTCATTAAGCAAAAGTACTTTTGATTATAGTAGAAAAGATGAATACCACTAGGTAAAATACCCTGGAACTATTTTATTTGATAAGAGTTTGAAAAAGTGTCTTCTAAGTTTACTTAAACTTGGAAATCTGAGGATATATAAAATAACTGCTTTTTTTTCTAACTGAAGTGGCAGAAAGAGAAGCCAGGAAGCTCAAACGCACATGCTCATATGCACATCCCTACACAGGCACATGTGCTCTTGCTCTCACACACATATACACTCACGAAGCACAGCCTCTCACACCCATTTGGCTCAGTTCAGACCTTCTGATATAGTCAAATACATTGAAAACCAATGGTAAAACGGTACCCCACTGATCAGACTCTATGTAAAAAGAGATTTGCAGAAAGGATAAGTAGGGAGAAACCATCAGGGGACTCATCATTGCCCAAGAGATTATATATTTCTAAAACAGTTGTAAAGTCCTAAAAGGAATATTAAGATGAGTACAATTTATCAGATTTTCCACAATGCCTACCTCTGTAGAACTTCCCTAGAGCATTTTCAACTCTGTATGATAAACCTGCTATCCCACTCAGTTATGCTTCATTTACCAAATACAGCTTGAACTGTAGCGCTTTTTTAGAGATTTTATTTATTTATTTGTCAGAGAGAGAGAGAGACAAAGAGAGTGAACAAGCAGAGGGAGATGCAGGCAGAGGGAGAAGCAGGCTCCCCATGGAGCAGGGAGCCCGATGTGGGACTTGATCCCAAGACCCTGGGACGACCATGACCTGAGCCTACTGCAGATGCTTAACCGACTGAGCCATCAGGCATCCTGAGTAGCATTTTTTTAATCTATAAGATTTCAAGTGATATCATAGATAATGTGCTTTGACATAACGGCATTGTTGCCGTCCTGAATGCAGCACATCCAATGGGGCTTTGAAAGGGGAAAGAGTAGTGCCAGATGATTGAGGGATCCACCCCAGCCCTGTGTCTAGAATGTACCTGCCCACAGAACCAGGTGACAACATAAAAACACCTCAGTGGAAAGCCATTTCAGGCAGATTAAACACTCTGACAGGCACAGAGTCTTCTCATTTATTCTAAATTCTTATCTAGGAATTGTGCTAGCTTCCAATACAGGAGTCTAGGGGGGAAGGCAATTCTTTAATGCTTCAAAAGATATAAGAAGAGGGTAAGGAAGGAGACAAAGAGGGGTGAGAAAATAGAGGAAGGAAAACCATTTGTAGAAGGGCAAGAACCTTTTCTTATAAGTACAACCATCAGCCTTGAGTTTTCTGAACACTGTTTCTATATACTCACATTGTACAAGCTATGATGAAGGCATGAGGGAAGTATAAGTCAGAGTCCATGGTCTAGGAAGTTTTGCTGTTGCCAGGGAAACAAGATTCCTGTACATGAGAGTATTAGGGAAGAGTACATTGGTCTTCTGCTTATTCATTTATTTATTTCCAACATCCCTCCCTCTAAAGATCTGCAATTACCTACAAAAATATACACAAAAACAAAATGATAAAATAAATAATTGGGGAAGTAAAGCCAAAGGGTAACTACAAACAGGAAAATAATAAAACCAGGGTTAAGATTAAATAAAGAAATATACAACACACTGTCCAGGCTTGAGGTGATATATAAATTTGGCTTAAAGTTCTGAGAGCCTTAAACACGGGCAATAAATTGCACACCATGCTCTGTACAGAGTCCTAAGACTCGGTTGTATAAAAAGAACAGGGCAACCCTTGCCAAACCTAGCTGCCCACTGATATCACCTGGGATGGTTTTCAAAAATTCGATAATCAACCCAAATTCCTAGAGCAGGCAGAGAAGGAAGGAATGCTGGGAATCTTCGTTCTTAAAACTTCCCTAAAGTGATTAGGATGCTATGAGCTCTGAGACTTAAAGCCACAGCTGTAAGGATTTTAAAATGGGGGAGGGGGATCCTCCAAAAATCAGACTGCAAGAATTATAAAGAATGTGATGCTCAAGCTGAGCCTCTAATTTTGGATGGAGTTGAGATAGAGGACATGAGGATAGAGGGCATTCAAAGGGGAGGTAGACACACGAGCCAAATCATAGAAGAGGGACCCTAATGCCATGAACAGGACAGCACCATCCCTAGTCACTCTGAAGTGGACGTGGGGGGCCCTAGGACATATTTAATTCACTCCTTAACCCATCCAATTATAATCAAATCACAGAGGAATTAAGGAGGTCACATACAAAATAAATAAAGGATAAAACTGAAATAGAGAGGAGTGAAATGTATTAGTCCTCTATTGCTGTGTAACAAATTACCACAAATTGAGTGGCTTAAAATAATACACATTTATTATGGCACAGCTTCCATGGGTAAGGAATCTAAGGACAGCTTAGCTGGGACCTCTGCTGTGGTCTCATAAGGCTGAAATCAAGGTGTCAGCAGGCCTAAGGGCTCATCTGAGACTTGGAGTTTTTTTCTGAGCTCATGTGGCTGTTGGCAGAACATCTTAAGTCTTACATCTGCAGAACTCATGGCAATTTGCTTTTCAAGATCAGCAAGAGAATCTCTGAGACTTCAGTTCTCTGACCTTGAGGTTCTCTTTAAAGGACTTGCCAGATTAGGTCAGACCCACACAAGAAAATCGCCTTTTTTATTATCTCAAAGGCAACGGTTTAAGACCTTAATTATATTTGCAAAAATCCCTCCACTTTGCCATATAATGTAACCTAATCACTGGAACGACATCCATCATATTCTCAGGCTCTGCCCACAGTCGAGAAGGAGGGAATTATATGCCAGGTTCATGCGTAACAGGGGGCCAGCATCTTGGGATCCATCATAGAATTCTGTCTATGACGAAGTACAAAGATGAGAGAGTGAAAACTACAAACATGCAAGATACATGAGTCAACAGAGCCATGTAATTAAACATGTAAATTTGTCTCTGAGCTTCCTGGCAGTTGAAGTAAAAAGGAGACATGATCAAATTTCCTAGTACTCTCTGATCAGTTTCTAGTACTGATTTGTATACAAGTCAGTCTTGTATAAGACGTGATAAAAATATGTCTTTACATAGGAATCATGAAATGAGACAGCATTAAAATAAGGTAGAAAAAAATAAGACATAACTGAAATCTGATCTCAAATAATTTTGTCACCACCTTGCCCACCACCTTACCATAGGGGAATCAGCAATGATGGGAACAAAGTTCAGTGGGGTGCTTGGTCAATAGCAGGTACCATAGGCTAGTGACTGGGGTACCTGTAACAGAGATTAACCATGAAGAGGCACCATGAGCTGTTCCAGAAGTAAGGATACTGAAGTGCAAACAAACTCAAGTTAGAAATCTGATAGATCAAACATGTGAAAAAGGCAGGAACAGAAGTTCAAGCACCACGTAGCATCTAATGGGTCCCACAGAAATGTTGCCTCGTTCTTTTCACCCCAGTAAGTTTTATCTGGCTCCCTCCCTGTGGAACAGCTTTTCCCCAGGGCATCTTATGGGCATCATGTGATCTCTGACAGGGCTGGTCAAAGCCTCTTCTTTGCTTTCTGGTGCTCATAACTTGTTCTAAGCATTCAGTAGAATGCACTGTGTCCACTGACATGGCACTCACACTCTAAAATATACCTGCAGTGGGGACACTTGTCTGGCTCAGTCAGAAGAGCACATGACTCTTGATCTCAGGGTTGTGATTTCGAGCCCCACAGTGGGTGTACAGATTATTAAAAAAAAGAAACTTTAAAATACACCTGCAGGGGCATGCAAACTTCTCTACTTTCTTCCATCCGCTAATATATTATCTCTTTTTATGACCCCACTCAATCCCACCCTTTCCTGCTCCGACCCACAGAGCTGTCTCCCTTTCTGGAGGGCCTCCACCCTCACCCACGGCGTCAGCTTTGTGTGTGTAATCACTCCTGTTTACTCTTGTGTTGTCTCCCACAGTCTGACCATCTGGTGCACAGCAACAACTGACCCCTTTTGTCTTTCAGTTTCCGTAGAGCTTATTAGTTTAGATTTACAAACCCTATAAATGGAAGAGACTTGGAATCCTCCCCCTCACACTCTTCCTCAATGAAGACCATCCCACCACGGTCTGAGCACTTCTAGGGACAAGGAACTATTTCATAAGGTCCCAGACCCTTTCTGTGAATTTTCAAATGATCAACAGTGCTACCTAACATTAGGTTACAATTGCTTCTCTTTAACTGCTATCCTTAAGTAGTAGTGAAAGTAGTGTGTGTGTGTTTGTTCACCAAGGGATATGTCCTAGAATATTCATAGCAGCACCATTTGTAATGGTCCTAAACTGGAAACTACCCAAATGCCCACAAACAGCAGAAAAGAAATATTAGGATAGAGTCACACAATATAATACCATACAGCAATGAGCCTGAAATGCGGTATGTATTTGGATGAATCACACACATACAATTTGAATGAAGGAATACCATACATAAGGTGTGATTCCATTCATATAAAGTTCAAAAACAGCCAAAATTCATCTATGCTACCAGAAGTCAGCATGCAAATTTTCTTAGAGGTGTAACCGAAAAGGAATTTGAGGAAGGCTTCTGAGATGCTACTGTTTCTTGTTCTGAGAGCTGGTAATATAGGCCTATTGAGTTTGAAACAATTTGTCAAGCTATATTATATGTATATTATACTTTAAAAAAAAAAGTTTAAAAATCCTCTTCCTCCTCCAAATGACCTGAATAAATAAAATTTCTTTAGCCATTTCTTATAGATACAGGTTTTAGAATGTTCAAGATCCTAGTCATCTACTTATAAAACCTGAAATTGGCAAAGTTCTGATCATTCCTTTGGAAGGTAATCATATTGATTGGTTTGTAGTGTTCTTTAAAAATGACCCATGTGCAATTACCTCCTTTCCTCCAATATGTTGTGAACCCCATAGATAGGTACTTTCCCTTTCGATTCTCTAGCAGCACATATATTCAGTGTCCATTGTATACTTAGAAAATACTCTTCTTCCCTCCTCTTCCTTAGCAATTTCAGATAAAAGAGATCAAATTTACATGGGACCTATTTGATTAAACAACCCATGTATTTTCTCCCCCCCCCTTTATTTGTTAAAGTCTTAATACTAATTCATCCAGTGAAGCTAAATTCTGTTTTGCTCTTTTCCTTCAAGTTGATCTAAGGACTGACCTTTACCCTGATTTATGAGCCCTTTTCAGATGTTTCCATATGGAGAGGTGGAGACTATTAGTGAGCTGGCCCCTCCACAGCACGGATTCAGTATTCCTTACATCCATTCCTTTTGTTTTCATCACCCATAAATTGACCTAATGTCTGCACTCCTTCCATAGAATTTTCTTTTCTCAAGGAAGAAATACTAATTTGGACAATGAGACAATGAGAAAGCAGCATTCTTATTCACATGAGGTTAGTGGCATCCCATCCTTCCTGATGGGCTGAACAGAAGGTAAGATAAATTAGTAATAATCCACAAACCACGTCTCTAATGGAAAGAAAGAATTCCGGATTCTACACGATGGCACGAAAATAACCCTTTTGATGTTGATAAGGCTCCCGGTTGATAACGTCACTTTCCAGAGAAAATATTGCTAGAGAGATCTACAGACACATCATGAATGCTGTTTTTCTCTCTGCTCAAACACTCATTTGCACACTTGGAACCTGGTGTGCACAAAGTTTGCTGAATTTTCCTTTCCCACTTTGTTGTTTTTCCCAGAGAATATTCACGGGTATCAGTCACTTCCATGGACAAATGATAGAGAGGCCAGCTTCTTAACAATATTCATATTCCCATCACCCAGCCACCCTTTGTAACCCATGGTTCAGTCTATACAAGTATAGCCCACCCTGCCCCAGGTTTCCTAGAGATAGATAGACATATATAGGAAAGAATGAAATTATGAATCTGGGAAGACTCTTACCAAGCCTGTTGAAGAACTCTCTCTAGAAAATTGAAGACACATGTCTGCTCTTTATAAGAAGGATCGCACAAAACAGAGAAGGAAAATCTAAGAAAGCCACTCATGCAGAAACTATTTAATCAAAGAGTAAAGACAATTATAACATCTGTTAATCTTCTGTGGAGGTTATAATTAAATGCTTTGGGGAAACACCCTTTCAAGGGTGATCCTTTAACATCTGTTGTGAGGACACACAGCATTGTGCAGTGACGAATCACTTCGGCACTTTGGGAGAAAGGAACTTCTGGGGATCACAAACACTGCAAGAGCCCCCAAGCACGCAGCCCCGACCTGCACCCACTGTCCTGGGGGAGGGGCTCTGCTCCTCAGTGCTTTGGATAATTGTCTGTATGGTGAGTCAGGCCACAGTCATTGTGTGTTAAGGAATAACGGGATCACAGGGCCAGAAATGGCCTTGAGACGATCTGATCTCCGCCTTCACTCTGCAGATGGGGCCACTTGATCCTACAGCTGGCTTGTGGTGGTTTACACGCAGGGTTGTTCAATTCTCCTTCCAAATTACACTCCACCCCACCAGGCTGCTGCCTCTTTGGTTTCGCTCTTTATTTGGGCTTGTACTTCTGATGTGTCCTTTGTTTAACAGGATCAGCATTCCGTGTCCAAAAACTAATGCTGTAATGTATGGTGATTAACATAACGTAATAAAAAAATTTTTTTAAAAAGTATGATCCAAAAATAAATAAATAAATAAAATTCAATGGTCATATTATTAAGTACAAAAAAAGAAAAGAAAAAACAGGATCAGCGTTATAAAGAGCCCTAGGGGTTGTGAAGTTATGGAGAAGTGGGAAAACTGAAATGACTCCCTTCTGTATCCCCCCAGCCACTGAGAAACACCGATCATCTTCACTTCCCTTCTACTCTCCTTTCTGGGGAACATGAGGCGGAGGAGAGAAAAATGAAGTTGAAGAAGAACAGCGAAAGATAGGAAAAAATAGAAGGAGAGAGGGAGAAAGAAGGAAGATTGAGAGAAATAAGGGTGGAGAAGTAATGTGGGTGAGAGAGATGGGAAAGAGGTGGGGGCAGGAAGAGCTAGGGAAGTTGGTCCCTAAGGATGGGCATCAAAGAAAGACCCCACCAAAAGGAGCTGGACACTCCCTATGCCCATCCCACTCCATAACCTGGTTCCACTATGCTTCACATAAGCAGTTCTACAGATACAAAAGACCATAGGATTTGGCAGTTTTGCAAAACAAAATGCAGAGATGATAAACCTGGGGCATCACATAAACAGATGCAATGTGTTGAGTGATGAAAAATATGTCCATATGATGAGAACATATTAAATGCATTCATGGCCAGGAGGGGTTTGGGAGTGGGCAGTCTGGGGCTGGTGGTTGTCTGGGACTGTGAATCCTGGTGTGTGCCAAAATGCTGAGTATGTGAGGCTTTTGACATTTGGTGTTGGGATTAAACAAGTCCCTATGACCCAGATGCACAGTGTTATCATCAACCCTCCCATCTCCCTCCAGCAATCACCTACTTACAAGGGCCCGTGATGTCTTGTCTTCAATGATGAGGAGCCAATAATGGTGATCCCGGCCACCACATACTATGAGTCTATTTTTGTGCTGGCACCCTAGGTACTTCTCATTTAATCCTTACAATGATCCTAGGAGGAGGTCATAGAATCAAAATATCTAATCCAAAGCCTTACTGGGCAATCTAGAACAAATTGACCTCTCAGTACTTTGTTTTTCTCATCTAGAAAAATGGGATTTATGCTAATATCTATCTCAGAGGGTTATCTTGATGAGTAAATGAGACAGCATTAATAGAAAGTACAATAGGACCAGATACATTAAGTACTTCATTAATATGAGGTGAATACATTTTTGCTATTACTACATTTTATGGACAAGGAAACTGTGCTCATTGAAGTTAAATAACTCACCCACGTCAACAGAGATCAAAACAGAAACTAGAACCCAGGTAGATCCAAGGGTAAATGCCACAAAGGCATGAGCTGGGTCTATTGGTTTCTGTTACTCTCTTAAAGGACTCAAAGGTCCTGATCTTCCTAGTATGTGGTGCAGGTTTTCAGGAAAAAGGTATCCAGAAAATCTCCAGACCAACCTGGGCAACCTAAAAGGGCACAATACACAGTCCAGGACATTCTCCTCTTTCTAATCGCTGTCCTCATCAATGAGAGAAGAGAAATCCTTGTCCCTTCTCTTCTTCCTTTATTCTCATACCTTTGGAGCTCCCATCTGATAAATGTCATGAATACCTACGTTTACATGACAAGAAATAAACAGGCACTAACTCACTCAAAGTTAGGTAAAAAAAAAAAAACTATTATTAATAATAATGCTACGCCTTTACGCCTTGAGTCCACAGGCATTTGAATGCCATGAGATTTGAATGTCATCAGTTGAGTTATAAAAAGGAATGTGTTCATAAGTATTAAAATGGAGAGGCCAAAGCACTAAATCAAAATCAGAAAACTTGTTGGGGCCCCTGGGTGGCTCAGCCGTTAAGCGTCTACCTTCGGCTCAGGTCGTGATCCCAGCGTCCTGGGATGGAGCCCTGCATCGGGCTCCCTGCTCTGCGGGAAGCCTGCTTCTCCCTCTCCCACTCCCCCTGCTTGTGTTCCTGCTCTCACTGTGTTTCTCTCTGTCAAATAAATAAATAAAATCTTAAAAAAAAAAATCAGAAAACTTGTTTATATCCATCCATTCACCAAATATTTGCTACGCACCTACCATTTGCCAGCCACTGTTCTGGGTGCTAGGGTTACAATATTAAAGAGGAGAGACAAGGCTTTGCCTTCTTGGAACCTGTAGCTTAGATGGGAAGATGTTCTTAATCAAATTGTTGACCATACTTTTAATCGCACTAGTGACAAGTGCTATGGGAAACAAGTACCTGAGGCTATCAGAGTGGATAACAAGTAGGGAAAGACTTCCTGAGGGGGGCCAGGAAGGTGGGACGGGAGCTATCCCAATGTGGATGGTGGGGAGCAGGGACCCTTCCCCAAAAGGAGAGATTTCGGTTGGTGGGAGGAGCTGGAAACAGCCAGTGAGTATATAGAGAAGAGCTCTGCCCTAATCCACTGAATGACTTCAGAAAACTCAGCTCGTTTCCCTAGGGCTCTTCTGCTTCCCTCAATGGAAAATAAGTGTGATAGGGAATGCACAGAGTACTCTTCTGCTCCCACAGATTCTCTTGATTCTCCCTCCCTGGGTCTGAACCAAGGGCATATTATAGAGTGAGAAGATTCTGGTCCAGGTGCAGGAAACAGAAAACCTGTTTTTGTGGAGAGTGGGGCACACTCAAATGTGGGAAGCAAGTATAAATCGTTCCTCGGATAAAAGAACCATCATTTGTTTCTTTTTCATATTCAACATCCAATACTAGATCCCAGAAGACTCAGAGACCAGTGCTCCAACTCCAAAAGAAATGTTATGTGTAGATTGTATTCCTGGCATCCAGAGTCCTGGTTTGATTGATGGGCTATTAATAATCTATCTGAATTCTCCAATTTCCCCCTAAGAAAACAATGAAAATAAAAAGTTAAGACTTCTCATTTTTCCAGATAGAAAGAATTACAATGCACTTGAAAACACTACTTTGGTAGTTTTACTGCTCTTGATCAGGTGTCCTAAAAAAAACTGGCTTCTTCAACAAGGTAACTGTTGCAACTGAGCTGTACGTGAAATGTTATTCAGTTTAATAAGGCCCTCTACTGGCAAACTCCAAAAACACAGTCTCTTGCAAACAATTTGAAGTATTTTAACTACTCCCAATAATAAAGTATCTCACATTACTGATTATTCAAATCTCAGCTGAAAGAATGAGTGAAAAGAAAATGAGAAAGGAAAGATATAAATGTCATTTTGAGTGGGCCATTCATTCGCTATTCATAAAATAAGTTACATGAAGTAGCATTTGCTTTCTTCTGATGAAGGTATTCCAGATGTCAAAGGTACACAGAAACAAAGGATATTTACCACATTAAAATGTACTGAATATTCGTGAAACCATAAAACCAAATTATGAATGTTATTTACCAACTGCAATAAACCAGATCATTTCTATTTGCCCACGTATGAGTAACTGACTATAATTAGAATTTTAAAAAATGTTGAAGGCAGGCCCTTTAAATTGCTTCTGATATGGCACAACTAATAATTAAGTTTCCGTGCTTGACAATGACAAAAAGACAGTTTATCGTGACTTGAGAACTTAATTATGGATATATGAAGTACGTTTTAAAAGTAGGTTTCCTTTGATACGTTTGTCAAAAGCTGATGGAACTGGGAAAATTTAACTAAAGATTCCTAGAAAATTAATAAACTTTTTAATGAGGCCATTAATAACTTTAGGAAAAATATTTTTAACAGAAAGTAAATGATAATAAATTAATGGATCAACAATGACGATTAAAAATGAGCATTAAACATACATGTAATCAATGATTTTGATTGGAGAACAGAGAAGGTATGGGAAATATAAGAAACATTGCCTATTGTAAGAGAAAATAAATCAATTTTCTATTATATAGATAAAAAACATTATTTAGAAATATTACATAAAAAGCAGCAAAAAGAGTAGAAAAATTCTCTGAGGAGTGGGAATGGAGAGGGGAGGATGGAGAGGGGCCTGGGAGATATAGATCGTCGTATACATATGCGATGTTTATATGTATACATAAACTATACATGTATTTATAGATGATATAGTAGTTATATATTTACATAAACATTTTCACACTATTTGGTTTTCTAAGTTTTAAGCATGTATTACTTTGATTTTTAAAAATTTCGTAATAACACATCACCACTGACAATGGAACCATTTGGAACATATCTTTTGGGCTGACCCGGATCAGATTGTTTGCCCAATGAAGCAAATACCCTTCGTAGAACAGTTTGTCAGACATGCATCTTGACAGTAACATTTGTCCTCACATTTCAGAACTAACAGCTCTTCTTTCAACACCATGATATTTATCTGCCATATTATTGACTGAGCTGATATTCCACAGTGTTGGGTTTGGGACTTTCCTCTTGAACTCAGTCCACTGGGTTCCTCTAGTCTATCCAAATTCTACTCAAAGGAATCACTAATCCAGAAAGTTTCTTTCTAAGAAGGAGACAGCTGATTTCTTGCCCTGAAAACACCAAGATTAATTTATGTAACCACTGGGAAGTACCTTGTGTAATTGAGGCTTCCAAACCGACACGACACACTTCATTAGACAAGTATGTGTTGGGGCATAGTAAACGTTGTGGGTAATGTTCTATGCATCTGAGAGATTTATTATTTCATCTATAAGAAAACACAACTGGGAATCCAAAGTTCCAAAGGCATTAAACTCTGTAGAATTAGAGAGGCAGAGAAAAGCCTTTAGGTTACCTGGTATATGTTTAACTGGTTCTAGGACTTAGCACTGTTCAGCCTCCACCATCCAGGCTGTTTAAATCCACTATCACAAAATACTACCACTTCCATTGGCAAACTTTTCAGGTACCAACCAAATAGCCAACCATCGTTTCCACTTTTTTTTTTTTTTTAACTTGAATTGCCTGGATTATACTCTTGACCAGGCTGAACTCGGCTACCAACACCCATACCAAGAATGCAAATAATCTTGATGTTTAGCCATAAACTTGGGCTAGCCTGCAAGAGGATTCTTATCTGAGACTAAAAGAAAAACAAACACCAAAGGACTGGTTAGACATTTCTAAAAAACTAGAAAATGTGATTTGCCAGTTCAACCAGTTGACACCTAGAAGTATTCATCTGATTTGCAGCTCCACCAGAACAATCAGCCCAGGAGAAGACAAGAAAAAATCAAAGTTCCGCCATTGGCAAAGCTCACGAGGAAAAAATGCTTTCCATAACCAGAGGGCAGTACAGTGAAAGGTTAAGACCAAGGGCTTGGGGTTCAAATCCTGCTCTTGTCTCTTACTGCCCATTTGACCTCATATATCTGAACCTCAGTACCCTTGCCTGGAAAATGTGCATTGTGATCATAATAAGACAGCACGTGCAAAGAGCTTAGAAATGTGCCTGGTGTCCTACGATCACTCAATAGTGATTAGGGGGAAGAAAACAGTATAAATCTTCTCCTACAATTCCCATGAAGCATGCACTCATACACTTTTTTTCATCATTTATTGGGAACTCACTCTGTGCCAAGTGCTGAGCTATGCATGAGATTATGAATTTGGCAAGGCCCGGGAGAATAAACTGGGTGGATGGAGAGGTGCCACGGGCAAGAATGTAAAGGTGGAGGGGTGCGAAAGAACATAGAAGCCCAGCTTGTTCAGGTAACAGAAAGCAGCGTGGGTAGCCAAGCCAGTCATTTCCATGCAAATCAGCCGAGGAACTTTTTAACAATGTCTGGATCTGAGTCCCACCTTGGAGATGCTGATTCATTAAGTCTGGAGTGGGACATGGGCATCTGCAAGGTAAATAATAATGACAATAGCTAATACTCATTAGTACTTAATATATGCTTGGCATTGTGCTAAGTGTTTTAGCTATATTAATTTATGTAATCCACCCCCATGTCTTCATGAGATAGTTACTCTTGTAAGCCACACCCTAAAGATGTGAAATTCAAACAGAAAAGGGAATTAACCAAGATCATAAAAGCAGAATGTTGTAGAAGCGGCATTTGAGCTTGGGTGGTCCAGTTCCAGATACCAAGTCCTCCATCGCTATGCCCTGCTGCCCTTGGACCTTTAGTGGAAGGTTCAGATGAACTGTCAGGCCAGGAAGCTCTGGGACAGATATGAAAGTAGGTGTGGAGGAGTGGAGAAGAATGAGCCGGAGTAGGCTGGCTGATACCACATCAGGAATAGTCCTGTTTGCATGCTCAGGAGTCTGGCCTTGAAGGCCTTCAACCCCAAGGAAGAAGAATGTAAAGCCACTCAGCACATTTATGTGATAAGTTTGTCAACCAAGTGCAGAGGGCTGGATGTTTGATGAAGGAAAAGGGATATTTAAGATTAGCCATTCACTTATTTAGTGTTATACATTGAACAATGACTCTGTACTAGAGGCTGTGGATATAGGAAGTATTAAAACACAGCCCTTGTTTTCAGTGGAAGAGGGATTTATGTGGCAAGGAGCTCCAGATCCCGCAGCAAAAGTTAACACAAGACATCATGAAGGTCTAAAGAAGGAAATCATCACTACAACTCCAAGAGTTCATGGAAGGATCTGATAGGCAGGGGTATCAGGGGCATGGAAGGTTCCAGAGAGAAAAGGTATGTAGGCTGTGAGTGGAATTGAGCTGAAGGTTAGAACCTGAGATCCAGGCTGCTGTGAGAGAAGGAAGGGGGGTGAGGAATCAGTGAGAAAGGGAAGAGAAGGTTCTATTGGCAAGAAGGGCTCCAGAGAGGTGGGAGAAAAGCAAGGTGTGGTCAATAAGAAATAATAATAATAAAATTTTGAGACTTCAAAGTAAAGCCAAAGCACAGATTGTCAGAGCTGGGAACCACCTGATATCTTGTGACCTGTAAGTGATGCTAGATACCTTTTATACTATTTCAACTGCCAGAATCACCTCACTTGGCCTTGTGGCCATTAACTGTAAAATAATCACAGAGTTCTCTTTGGCTCTCTAGCAAAAAGAATGAGGAATGGAGACATTTAGAAGCATACTCAGAGCCAAAGACAAAACAGGAGCAGAGCCAGACCATTTTATCTATACACCTTCACCCAGCCCTGTTCCTACAGGAAGACCTAGCAACCACACGTGGGTCCTATTTCTTTCATCATCTTCAGGAATGGAAATGTGGAAGGCAGGCTGGAATGAGCACGAGAGACTGAGTCTTTAGCTGTAGGTCTGCCACCAATCTTGCCAGAGGACTCTGGACCAACCATCCCTCTTCCTTGTGCCTCAGGTTTCCTTCTGTAAAAAGGATGTGCTCTGACTACTAACTTGAAAGCGGTCTTAGTAGCAGATCCCATATTTTAAATGAAAAGTCACACAAAGCAATTTCAATACATGAAACACATCCGAGCAGGGGGTGTGTGCCCTGATGGAAAAACTGGGGGCTGACAAACAGGCAGGAGGTTACCCACTGTAGAAATCCATGGAAGACTAGTAGAATATTTTAGGACCTTTCTGGCCCTGGCTTCTTACAAGTCTCTGAAAGCAGAGAAAAGGGGGAAAGCAGTGAAGGCCGCCCCTGCTCTCCTGGGCAAGGGACAGAGCAGCTGAAGTGAGGAGCAGGCTGGGGCTCCGGGAGTGAGTCACAGAGTTCGCGTGCAGGAGCTAACAGGCTAAGAGCCACTTCTTGCCAATCCGCGCAGCCGCGCTGTCCGTTCTAGATGGCAGGAATTAGCCGCCAGTTGCTACGGACAGCAAGGCGCCTAAGAGCAAACCCAGCAGCCCAAGGCACACAGCAGACAGCCCAAGGTGCGCATCTCTAAAGGAGAACTTCCAGGTGGCCCCGTGTGGCTGTGATAAAGAGGGAGCCTGCGTCCAGGCTGGAGGCACAAGGAGCCCCCTCTTCCTATCCCCCCCAAGGGTATCTGGACAGTTCTAAAGAGCCAGAAAGGAAGGCAAAGAGAGGGTGTGGATCTTGAATCCAGACCTAGCTGAGTGTCAGAATTTCACTTTTTCAGTAGTCCATGAATTCAGGTTCCCAGCTCAGAAGACAAGTCAGGACAGTGAACATTTCTCCAGATACTCAATGGGAAAATATCCAGATAGGAACGGTTTCAATTTCAAAACATTTTTCTATACTTTCAAATTCCTCAAGAATGAATGAGCCCTGGGGGGGGTGTGTGTGTGTGTGTGTGTGTGTGCGTGTGTGTGTGTTTGGGGAGAGGGTGTAGGCAGGAGGGAACAAGACACTGTAAACAACATGCACATATGAGAAAACTACAAACCACAGAAAGGATCAGAGACCGAAAACAAAAAGTGGGTTTCCGCCTTCCAGCACACTGGTTAATTAAAAATTAGTCTGTCATTTTCTATTAAAATTCCTAGGTCAACCTAGTAGTTTTTTGTATGGTTGGTTGCTTTTTATTTGAAAAAAAGAAAAGAAATCTAACCTCCCAGCAGAGTCAAAAGAGGACTAGGAATTCACTCTCTGTTATCTACACGCCGGTGTCTGTTCTCAGACGAGGAGTCCTCTGCACCTACCCCCGGCAACTTCAGCACACTATAATTACTAGGAACAGACGCCTACTTGTGTGGCAGCCCGGAGAGCCTGGAGAAACACCTAAACATCATCATCGCACTTTAAAAGGAAAGCAAGCTGTATAAATAAGAAAAACTGTTACAAGAGTTAAAAAAAATAAAATAAAATAAAATAAACCAGCCCCCAGCCTTACTTGTTAGCTCTTCAGTCAATACATATCACAGTCCTGGAGACAGACACAGCCACGGCTCTTTCAAGCTAAAAATTTCTTCCCGAGGTTATCCACTGTTTATTTTTGCAGCATTAAAAGGCCGTGCTAAGAGACCACGCTCAGTTTTCCTGAACATCCAAAGCAGCAGCGAAGTCCTGCAGCGAATTCGGAGCAAGTTTGCGGAGACTCGCTCCCCGGGCCGCGGCTCCGTGGTTGCTCCGAGCTTGTAAATACAAGCTCCGTGGACAAAGTCCCAAATGACATCACTGGCAGCTGCTTATTGTTGAGTCTTTATTAACTGACTGTCAAAAAGAAAGGAGGGGGTGGGGAGCAAGAGTATCTTTTCTGCAGCAAAATCGGCATCTCGGAGCGGATTCCAGTTATACATGCGTAAATAATCCCATTGATGCAAATTTTCAAGAGCTTGGTTTTTCTCAGGTCAGAGCCTTTTTCTCCGGAAAGAGACACAGAATCGCCTCCACCAATTGACGCCGGATAAACTGAAAACGTGGAGGGAAAGTTTGCAATGCCAGGACAGCCCCATTGAGTTGTTTACCCACCTGTTTGCAGTCGGCTTCAGAGTTTGATGATTCACAAATATGATTATTAGTTATGTCTTGTGTGGCCTAACAGCTTTTGCTGTGATACAGATACCTGCTTAATGTATTTCCTAAATGGGTTGTCTTGGGGTGCAACTCTTTTTAGACATACTCTAAAGGTTTTCATCTTGGGCTAGAAGAATGTGTTCCCTGAAATGTAAGCAAAATGTTGTATATATGTGCAAATAGGTGGATTTTTTTTTCTGAGAAGAGTGCTGGAAGCTTTCTTCAGATTCTCAAAAATTTTTTTTAATTTTATTTTAATTCCAATGCAGTAAACATAGTGTTATATTAGTTTCAGGTGTACAACATATGGGAGTCAACACCTCCATATATTACTCAGTGTTTGTCAAGATACGTGTAGTGTTGATCCCCTTCACCTTATTTTACCAGCTTCTCAAAATTTTAATGACCTATCTGCACCACCCCAATCATGCCCCCCACAGCCCCGCAAAAAAAAATCTTTGCCGAGTATCTATAATAATCTCAAGGAGTATTGTAAGCCACCCCGGCCACTTCGAACCAGCAAGACAAAAAAGAGCACTTTCCTGCCTGTTTTCCATTCTGTCCTGGAATCTCTCCTTCTGTCAGCTGGTTCTTAACTTTTTTTTTTTTTAATAGTTCTCTCCCCACCCCCTCCCACCCCCACCTGGGGAAATCCACAAATCCTCCACTGAGTCTCTGTCATGAAGCTCAACACTCTAGACCACTCTGTTCTCCTTCCTTCCTCTGAACTGCTCTAATGCTGCTGACTATTTATATTTATTTGCAGCTTTTTATATACCGACTTGTATTTTTAGCTTGTTTTGTAGCCATCTGTGTTCTGTCTCCCCAACCCAGTTTGAAAGGTCTTTGAGGGCAACCATTGTGTTGTGTTATTTGTTTACACTCAAATCGCCTGCCATAGTCAATCTTTGGCCCAAATGGGGGGAGGGCGCTAAGAATGGAGGCAGGAATAAGGTTGGCGGATTCCAGGGAATGGGGTGTATATTTAGATTGAACACTCTCCTGGCCCTTGGAAAACAATGACTTCACATCTCACTGCTTCCCCACAGTGGATGCTCACTGCATGTCCAAAACTTATTTTCTCAAGGAGCAGTGGTAGATTATTGATTTGAGAAGGTATCAAGGCCCCCAAATATTCCACTTTCATATAGGAATCACATGAAGACAGCACAGAACTCCGATGGGTGCAAATCAACACAATATTTATGGAAAACAAATTGGAAATACCTAAAGATTTTCTAGAGCGAGCAATTCCACTTTCCAGAGTAAACCCACCAATAAATTCACAAAAGAACTCAAGAATATAAGCCCAAAAATGTTCTTTCCAGCATTCTTTATAAACCAATAGAGATAACTTTAATATCCATCAATATGAGAAAAGGTAAGTTATAAGCATAGTACAGAAAAGTGAGGTTTTGAAAAAATGGAGGTAACTGTACATATACTGATAAAGAAAGGAGTTGCTTGTTGCATGAACAAAGCAAATTGCAGCATAAAATGTAGCAGTAGAGAATGATGGAGGAATTATACCAATTATTAACAGTGGTTATCCTTAGGGAGTGAGATAGAGGAACTTGCATTTCTGTATGATTATGGGTGGTTTGATCTTTTTCTCGATGAGCATGTTCCACTTTTGTTATTAAAAATAAGAGAAGTCCATGATTGTATAATTTTCAAAATAAATCATGAGAAAAGACCGGCTATTTTTTCAACAAATGTCTGACATATAGTAGGTGCTCACTAAAGATCTATCAATTGAACATCTTCTCAGAGTGTCTGTGAGGAGACGGCAACATGTGGGGATGGAACGGGGTAAAGAAGATGTGAGAACCAGACACTGGATTTGCATTCCTGATCCAGTGACCAATCCCCCTTTCCATTATATCGGAGGACTGGTTTGAAAACCTCTTAGACTCTCTTCACCTTAAGCAATGATTAAAGTTAAGTGTTCAGAACATAAAGTCCTGACCTTTCTGTTGTGCGATTGCCGTTTGACAAATGGAACTTTCAGGTAAGACAAGTATGAACCGCTCTGGTTCTGTTCGCTGGTGGCTAGGAAGCACAGGAGGACAAGTCAGAAGGCTTGTAAGGGCACAGTTTGGCCCAGCTCCTTGTCATGGCTGGTCTAACATTAAGGAACTCTCCAGAGGAAGTTTAGAAAAGTCTAATCCATAAAGAGTCTTCAGAGCTTTGTTAAGGACTCCGGGCTTTGAAATTCAGTGGCCTGGGGTGATGGCACAATGCACAGGTCTGTCTCCTCTACACACAGCCAACGAGACCTCTATGACGGAAACCCGCACGCATAAGCCGTGCATTAGACACGATGGCTTTCTTTAGGGGGAAAAAAGTCCACCAGAAAGAATGACTAGAAATTTCCACCAAGGTAAGCTAGATTTTTTTCAAAGCACTATTTCTATTCCTCTAGAGGAAACATTCTAGAGTCTTGTCTTCCTTCCTAGTGAGAAGATAGCTCATGTCTGTAAAAATTTCAAGAAAAGGAAAGCACAGCCCATATTTCTTGCATTTTTTTTATTTTGCTATAATCCACACATTATAGGAACCTGAAGCCAGATTCTGTTTAAATGCACATTTGGAGCCCCTTGGGTGTAATAGGGTCACACTTTCTTAAGTGGCAGTTAAAGACAAGTATTAAACTTGACTTACAACTTAGTATAAAATTAAATAAGGGAAAGATGATGGGGGGGCACTGTCTTCCCCACCTCTACCAGGTAATCATTAATGCTGCTGCCCAAATTACCTCCTCACCTGCTAAGATGCTTAGCTCACCTCCCCTGTCGGGGCCTTCCTGGCCTCCTTCAGGCAATCCCATCTCCCCCATGACACCTGCCCTCACCCATGGAGGACTGCCAGCTGGTGTTACAAAAGGCATACGAATGTCTATTTGTCTGCTCAGTTTTCAAAACCTCTTATACTGTATTCTTCATGGTTGAGTGTTTTCTGGAAAATCCCTAAAGTCAGAGATGGTAATCAGATCTGTGAGGTGTGAAACACAGCAAAGAGGTCCCTTAGAGATGCTTGCTGGTGATGGTTGTGTATCATTGGGGACCTACCAAGACTATCATCACAGGTGCGGTTTTTACCTCCAGTGTCTGATTTCCCCTCTCTCTCTACCTCTTATCCCCAGAAGCAAATATAACTTCTGCCATTTATTAAACATTTGTGTGTGCTACTTGCATTAAACGCATTATCTAATTTACCTTTAAAATAACCCAGTGAGTTATGTATTATTATTATCATTCCCCTTTTACAACTAAGGAAACTGAGGCCCACAGTTACTTAAATAATCTGACTATGGTCACACAATAGTAAGAGGTAGATCCACCATTTCAGGATTGTGAATACTAAAAAGAGATTTGATAAACCAATATGAATAATGACAAATTGGAATTAGAAACATGTAGTCATTGTTAAAGCACTCAGCTCTGATTCCAATATGTGACACATGACACTAGACATTCAAAAGACCTTCAGAATTCAATATCAAACTAGTGTGATGTCTGTTTCTTCCCATAACCCAGCTGTTCTGCTTAGCTCTTGGAGGAGATATGGTGTAGGCCTCAAAGACCAGTGCAAAGACCATGGGAATCATACTCACGGGACTTATGCCCAGAGCATCACCGGTGGAGTAAATTCTCCAGGCCCTTGGAGATGGGCAAGCTCCAGTTGTGAGGAGAAAATATTGAAGAACAGGCATTTAAGTGTTTCCCTTCACACAGAGCCTTCAGTAACTCATAATTTGTTCCGATATCTGTTTTTTCTTGTGGAGCTAATGGTTCTGCCGATGCTTAAGAGATTACCCGCTGCCAGCCAATCTACCCCGTAAAAGTTAATATGATCAGAAATAGGAAGCAGGAGAGAATTTAGAAGGAATAACATGGGCACACCTCAACATTCAAACCAGCCTGGCTTTTTAGAGTGAGTGTCTAGGGGCCCCAAGAATCTGCATGTTTGAGAAGTGGCCCACATCGTTCTCATGCAGGTGGTCTTCAGATCATATTTTAAGAAGCACCAATTACTACAAGAGAAACGAATATCAGACCTTCTTGTCTACAACCAGACATTGATAAAGACCAAGTAGCTTCATCCAGTTTCCTTAGGAAAGAACACCGTGACCAACAGGCAAATTCCTGGTAACTGATACCTTCATGGATCACATCTGACACAAAGCTGGTGCAAAAAATGCAACTTGGAAAAGACAAAACAGGTGTCACAATGATGGTCCCAAACACCCAGTCAGATAAAAACGTTTTCAGGCTTTAATCGCTCCAGATATTACAGTAGTCCCGTACATAAATCACACAAAAACAAGAGTACACCATAAAGTGTGAAGTCCAACAAAGTTCAGATTATTCTCCTAACAACTGCTTTGATGCATTTCATGATATATCAAGTTCCAAACTTACAAATACTTTTTTCCTCATTGGGGGAAAGGGGGGGGTCGCTTGCTGGTACCCTCAATGTACATGTAGTCTATTGGGTTGTTGACATGATTGGGGCACCAGGGACCTCTGGAGAGGGGATGATATAGCAAACATTTGTTGAAAAAGAAGGTGAAGGGGAAAGATGTAAAATGAGACCTACCATAAAAATG